AAAAGCCGTACGCCTGCACAGTCTGCCCCAAGATGCATACTTCAGGCCACGATCTTAAAATTCACATTCGCACACACACAGGGGAAAAGCCGTACAATTGCACAGTCTGCCCCAAGATGTTTACTTCAGGCCAAGGTCTTAGACGTCACTTTCGCACACACACAGGGGAAAAGCCGCACAATTGCACAGTCTGCCCCAAGATGTTCACTTCAGGCCAAGATCTTAAAATTCACTTTCGCACACACACAGAGGAAAAGCCGTACAACTGCGTGCTCTGCCAGAAGACATTTTCTACAGGTCATCTGCTTAAAAGGCACCTCCGCGTACACACAGGTGCCAAGCTGCACGAGTGCGCAGTGTGCCAGAAGAAATTTGCTCAAGGAAATTATCTGAAAATTCACCTTCGCATACACACAGGGGAAAAGCCGTACGCCTGCATTGTCTGCCCCAAGATGTATACTTCAGGACAAGATCTTAAAATTCACCTTCGCACGCACACAGGGGAAAAGCCGTTCAACTGCACAGTCTGCCCCAAGACGTTTACTTCAGGCCGAAATCTTAGAAGACACCTTTGCACACACGTAGGTGAAAAGCCGCACGAGTCTGCCTAAAGAGTTTGCTAAATTTAAGCAATCACCTCTCTACCCAATCAAGACATAAGCCTCACAAGTGATCAATCTATACGAAGAAATTTACTGCTGGTCAAAATATTAAAAGCCACCCTCGAACGCACTCAGGTGAAAATTTCTAGACTGATAAACCTATTGTGCAACCGATAGAAATTTGCAAGCGTACCACTCGGTACCACTCCAAGTTGGGGTGTATAATTAGTTTGCAAGACAACAGTTTACCTTATCTTAAACTCATCTTCGTGCTTAAACCAGCGTAGGACCGCACTGTAATATTTTTTGTCGCGATGACGTCAATATCATAGCTAATTTTTAATTACAAGGGTGTCGTCGTGGGGTTTTTCGTCACATGATTAGGGTTTTCTTATCATGTGACGAAGAAAAAAACATGACGACACCCCTGTACTAAAAATTAGCCATGGTATTTTCGTCATCGTGACAAAGAAATTTTACAGCGCGGGTTCACCCTCGCACGCTCCGAATGAAGTGTTCTGTTCAACTGTTACGTACCATTTCGCCGAGTTTTCCAAAATAAATAAGCAACATGATTACAATTTTTGCTTTATTATCAAAACGAGGGTTCTCCAACTCGTCTAGACTCCGGACAGCCTGTCGCTGGAAGGTCCGATGCACGTAAGTGCTGTTGTTATCTGAGACAACCCCCATCACTTCGCGGCAGGTGGGAGTGGTACATTCGAAATGCTCCTGTTTAAAACCCTCTTTTTAAAAATGACACTTCGCCGTCAGGGGCAACTCATTTTGGACGGCCCTGTAATGAACTGGCACTGGCGACCGCGTTGCCTGCGAGTTATGCACCCCGCCCGACACTCGCGAGCAGCGGGCTGGCCTACGCGCGCTCTGCAGGCGCCGAGAAGAAGAGACCACGGGAGACCATCGCCGGCCTAGAGGTCTCTGGCCAGGCAGGTGAGGAGGAGGTGGTGGTGGTGAGGGAGCTCCTGGGAGGGGACAGACCGGTCGCGCGGGCTTGCCTGCCAAGAGAAATGTGTATTTTGCAATTTTCTCTGCTCGGAGCACACGATACAGAGGGTGCGCTGCGTTGCTGGCGCGCCCTGGCGCCGCTCTGCCGGCGAGTATTTCACAATTCCAGCGGCGTATCGTGATCGGTGGCTTTGATAAACGCGGGGAGCAGTGTTGGGGGGGGGGGGGGGGACTCATGATGAAAGTGTGTACCTCATATTGGGCGGGGCGGGGGCGCTGTCGCCTCCACTGCACTCGCTATCTCGCTGATGAGGGCTGGCGGTGCCACCGCAGCGCACCGAGGCGCACCGTACCGTATGCAAAGACGAGTTTCATACTTTATATTTTTTTTTCCTTAACCTTGCGTTGCATTTTAATTTTCCTTTTTTTTCATGGATTACTGAGCTACATTGACGGATTGTTTCGGACAATGTAAAAAGTATCTTCGCAAAATTACAACACTCTGGAAACCCAAGTGTGTACTTGAACACACAATATTCTGCATACCTACATGTATGCAGAATATTCTGTGTACTTGGCAAGTACACAGAATATTGTGTGTACTTGGTCAAGTACACAGAATATTGTGTGTACTTGGTCAAGTACACAGAATATTGTGTGTACTTGGTCAAGTACACACTAAAACCTCCATACATTTATGCAGGAGACTTGGTGTGTACTTGACCAAGTACACACAATATTCTGTGTACTTGACCAAGTACACACAATATTCTGTGTACTTTCCAAGAACACACAATATTCTGTGTACTTGCCAAGTACACAGAATATTCTGCATACATGTAGGTATGCAGAATATTGTGTGTTCAAGTACACACTTGGGTTTCCAGAGCACATTTTGAATTTACGATTTACAAAATGTTTTCAATTTACGACAGCCCATTGTGGAAAATTTTCCTGTAACCCCTTACGAGTGTTTCAGGCGTCGTTGGCGTTGTTGGCCTCCCGCCCGTTCCCGCATGACGCGGAGATTCCCGAGAAGTTTTCAAACCGAGCAGGACATAAGACCCAAAAGATGAAGGATACGAAAAAATTTGGGGGCGTTTGGCGTTTTGCGCGTCGACGGTGGTCAAATATTTGTGGCAGCCGGAGGGAGGAGGCTGTTCGGCCCCCGCGGCACGGCCGACGCGCCGGAAATTAATTTTTTGAGCCTCCTGATAACTTCGGGGAGCGCAGTAATAAGATGGGAGGTGGTTTTATTTGTTGCTTCGTTCTGGAAACGTTTGGCGCGTTCCGGGTCGGGCCGGGCGACGATGACTATGGCGGCGGGCCCGCGACGGTCGACAAACGCGGCGCGTGGAGGTGACGGCCGGTTACGGGCCGATGTCGCTGCCGCTGGCAGTTCCATCCCCTCCTCCTCGGCCATGAATCTCCATGACAAGCTGGCCCGGGCTCCCTTATGGAGAGAGAAGATTTGGCAACTTGTTTGGTTCGCAGCGCTGCTGCTGCTGCTGCTGCTGCTGCTGCTGCTGCTGCTGCTGCTGCTGCTGCTGCAGGTGATCGAACCCGCCCGCCGCGTCGCTCCGTCTGGAGGACTTCTAGGGAGAGACTTGCAGGCATTAGGGTGACAGGTGCGGCATTACCTGGGGGATTTTGATTTCACAGGAGAGCGGGCCGGGCAGACATGTGCGCGTGACCGGACTAGGCGCCGGGGAAGGCAGATAAGGTCTCGTCTGGCATTCGTCGGCGGAGACTGGAAGAGGAGGAAAAAAAAAGTTGTTTCGACCCCTCGTCTTGCCCCCCCTCCCTCCAGCAGTGCCGCTATTAGACGACCCTGATGAGAAGGGCGTGAGGGATAGGCCCTGACTCAGCTAGAAAGAGAGAGAGAGAGGGAGAATTAGGGAGGGGGTGGGGTGGTCCACGACAAGCCGAGGGAAGTTAGACGCGCGAGGGTCTGGGGGGCTGCAGGCGGGCGCGGGTGCGAGAGAGAGAGAGAGGAGCTCGGTGGGTGTTATCCCCCCTCACAAAGTTAAGAGAA